ACACTGAAAGGCTTGATGAGTCTAAAGATGTTTTGTTGTGAGTAACAGATATTAAAACAGTGTTAGATAACAATATATTAGACTATTATTGTTATTAATTTAGTATAATACAAAATTAAAAATTGTTATACCTAATGTAATTCTAGACCTGTGAGTTATAGTTTTACTGAAATTGAAGAATTAGATGAACATATAAACAGGTATAACAATGTTATTAAAATATAATTTGTATATGTCAATAATTTCATTATTTTAACAATTCAATAGGGAAGATATTAGTGATAATAACTTACCTGATCAAGAAAATATAAGCCACTTTAATTCTAATGACCCTATCACAGAAGCTATTAATGATACAAAACTTGCTGGTAAGGTTATTGATCAACCAAATTCTGATGACCCTTTCATAAATGCTATAAATGATATAAGACTTACTGGTAAGATTATTGATCAACCAAATTTTACAACAGGTAACTCAAAAGGTATTTGAAGTATCATTTTCCTAAAGAAATACTTAAAAATTACTATTTGTCTATAAAATAAACTTATGTTTTTAAAAATCTTTCCAGTAAACTTGGTGTCTTGAAACAATCAGTAAATGCTTCCATGCATATAGTAGAATCAAACGACGCTCGTAATGAAATGTTAAGATCATATTATATTGCTAAACTTTTTCTTTTAAAGAGGAGAACAGAAGCAAAAGAAAAAATTGCAGCTGCATTAGAAAAAAAGTACCTAATGTAATCCTATTTTGTTTAAATTTAAGAAGTTTTTAACATACCATTAACTTACTAATGTTCCTATACTAAATTTATGAAAGATCTCATATTTAGATAGTTTATATATAAAAAAAATATGTGCAATATATTTAATAAGTAATAATAATTTTGCAATATATTTAATTAGTAATAATAATTTTACAATGTTTTTTGTTTTAAATAAAGAGATGTTTATTGAAAGTATCTATTAATAATTTGTTTTTGGAATCTTTTTCCTGCTGTAAGTTCTGGATTAATTTGATTCACATTGTTATTTACTGGTAAATCATTAATTATGCCCAAATCAATATCTTCCCTTTCATCGATATTTACTAATGGTAATTTATTTGTTATACAAATATTGTGCAATGTGACACAAGCGTTAATAATACTAGCCGCCTTTGGTGGTGAGTAATGCAGAACTCTATGTTTAAGAAGACATCTGAAGCGCATTTTCAGCACACCATTGCAACGCTCGATTATTGACCTGGTTTTACAGAACCACTTATTGCACCGAGCTTCTGAACTATTTTCCTGTGGTTCATATATTGGGGTCATCAACCATGGTCTAAGCCCATACCCTGAATCACCAAGCATAAAATATGATGTTTGTCCAATGGAATGTAAATGTTGTAATAACTCTTGCACCAAACTTAAACGCCATATGTGACTATCATGAACACTTCCCGGGAACTTACAGCATACATTCAATATTTTTAAGTCTGAGTCACATATCTGTAATAATAATAAAATTAAATAAATATATGCATAATAATAATAATAATAATAATAATAAAAAAAAATATTTAATACTTGTCATTAATTAACAAATATGAAAATAATTATCTAAGTGTATAAATCACCCTGTATACCGTAATGTAATAATTCAATTGAAGACTATTGGGTAGGGAAATGCCACTGGGTTAACACCTTATATTAAACATATTTAAAGACTCACTAGTTGAGTATTAATACTATGATAACCTTTTCGGTTGACATATATATGCTCTGGGTATAGTTCATCTTCTGAATTTGGAGGAACAATAGCTATGTGTGTTCCGTCTACAACTCCAACAATTCCAGGAATTGAATACTTGTCATAAAACCTGTAGGGAAATATTCAAACTAATAAGTAATAATTTAATGTCTTAAATCCATAAGCTTACACAAACAAACTAATATTAATAAAAAGTAGTAAATATACCCAACTATGAGTTGAAATACAAACAAAATTATATTTTTTTTCCATTTTTCAGTTTTACAAAAATAATTTTTGATTTAATAAGTTATACTTATTAGCTAAGAAATAAGAATACAAATAATCAACAATCGTATTGAAGTACATCCTAGTACTTAGGTAAAAATTATAGTTAAATTTTACCTCATAGAAAAATGTTAGTTCTTTCATTAGAGGTGATCAATAAAACTTAAATGAAAATAAAAATTTGAAAATTATTTGTACAAGTTGTTGATTATTTGAATTAATATTTATGAAGATTTTTCTATTTAAATAATATATTAACTAGTAGACTCATATTAAAATGTAACTTACCCTCGACGAACGATATTGAGTTCTAACATATTAGCAGGAAAATGAATATACTTGTTCATAATCTGATAATTATTCAAAGCTTCAGTTACTTCTGTTAGACACCTACTGACCGATGCTTGACTTAGTGCTGCACCTCTATGCTCACCTATATCCTGTTGGTAACTTCCACTTGCATAAAACCTCAATGCTGTGAGTACCTAAGTATAAATATATAGTTTAATAAAACTAAAAATTAGGTACCCTTTAATGAATTATGATTGCTACAATGTTACCCGTGTGGCTATGTAACATCTGAAATTTCCTTATTATAAAAATATAGTACCTAGGTAGAGTCACCAGCTATGGCCGCCTTAAGCGTTTTTCTAGACAAATCATACTATTAAGTTTTACTAGTTAATAATTGAGCTTTGAAATTTTTAATGTGTGATCATCATAACAAGCATAATACTTATAATACAAATAAAATTTAGGTGAATATAAAAAACTTTTTGGAGTGATCTTTAGAGTATTTCCATTAGTTGGTGCTATTTAAGTAACCTAAATAAACAACTATATTTATATAGAAATAAAATAAACTGTTATAGCAGGGGACTGGCCATTGGTCACCACTCCACCTATAGCAGTAAGTAATTGTACCTATCTTTTTAGCCCACCTTTCTTTGCACACTTAATGCCTTTGATGCTTTCATAAACGGCTTAACTGTTTCAGTCAGTTCATCAACGAGAACTTTGCTTAGTCGATATGTCCCCATAAATTGTCTATCACTTAAAACTGAAATCATAAAATCATATTTAAATTAGCAATAAACACTATAATGTACCTAACTACAATAAGTAATTATTATTTATAGATAAAATATCTTACCATCAAATGGATTTTCTTGCAACATATATCTTCGAGGCTCAGTGAACCATTCATCAAATATATTATTTTGCATCATATTAAATTGCATCATTACAATAAATTACATCAATATCATCATTAGCCATTTTGACATTCAATAAGACACAATTTTATTCGTAAAATGTTAACCGATAGAAACTATTAAATCTAAATTTATGTAAGACAATTATTATTATCGCGAGATACACGGAGAAAACGATCGAAACTAAGCTTTTCGCTTCAAAATATTAGTCGAAAAGAAAAATCGAATACTACGGTCGAAACGCCGATCGAAAACTGTTTGAGAATAGGGATTTTTGAATTGGTCGTAAATATATCCGCTTTCGACCAAATTTTGATCGAAAATCCTTTTCGATTGATTTGAGAATAGGCCCCCAGCTCCGGCGCAGCGGCTTGATTCAACGTCACAACTCCACGGAGGCAGCTCAACCGAGTCACAGTCGAGGACCGATCACCCTTGACAACTCCGGAGGAGAAGAACACAATATACAGGCAAGCAGACAAGATGAATCCAGCAGCAGGTGCAACAGTAATGTGAGTTAATTAATTAAGTTGAAGATAAAAATATTGCAGATAAAATTGTAGCTTTGAGTGCACGTCTCACGTTGGTTTTTTTAAACCAGAGTTATTTTTTTTAAATATAATTGGTGAAGGTGTAATATTTGGATAAATAATAATAAAATAAAAACAAGCTTGTTAGGGAAAATAGTAATTTTTTGTAATAGACAGCGGTAGACTGATCTAAGATTTTTTTTGTAATAGACAGCGGTAGACTGATCAAGGATTTTTATGGTAATAGACGGCAGGGACCTATCTGATTTTTTTGGTAATAGGCTGCAGGGACTGATCTAAAGTTTTTTTTTAAATAGACGACAGGGACCGATCTGAGATTTTTTATGGTAAATAGACGGCAGGATAAAATACATGTGTTGTATAGCAGTGAGCGTGTGTTAGTAGGTACACAGTATATTAACACGAGGCGCGCATGAATAAATACGAATAGAATAAATACGTACGTACGATACGTGTATACGGGAATAAATACACACATGTAACAAAATAAATATTTATTATTTTTTGTTTTTGTAGTAATTTAATTAAAAAATTACTAGATTTTAATAATGTTAGTGAACATTAGGCATATATGAATACATAATCGGATAGTTCAGATATTGAAACTAGTTCTGAGGATAGTTCAGTAAAAGTTAAAAAATATAAAAATAAGAAGGAAATAAATTTTAAAAGACGCTATAAAGAAAGAATTTATAGAAAAAGCAGGCAAACAAATAGCTAACGCCAAAAAAGCTGTTAGGAAAGATTTCGTAAGAACACTTAGTTTAACAGAACGGATAGGTATAACGTCACGAAAAAGTGATCAATTCGTAGGTCGTTCAGGTACTAGGTCAGACTCAAACGTAGTTCACGTGCAATTAGAAACAGAAGTTAGGAAAAACGCGACAAATAAAATGGATATTGATAAAGCAATACCAATGATACCAGTTTGCACGGGAAAGAAAGACGTAGCAGAATTTATAAATATCTGCGAGATCGCGCTTAAAGATATTGCTGACGCTGATAAACCTTTATTATTAAAAATAATAACGTCGAAGTTGACAGGGAACGCGTTATGCTGAGGCCACACAGAACGCTACGCTATGTATGCTATTTATACTATGTTTCCTTTGTACGCTATGTTCACTATACGGTGCGGCAACACAGAGCAAGCTACGTATACTACGTACGATATCGTACGAGTCACACTGAACAGTTATCAGTCATGTTCAAGATGTTGTCAGGTACGTTGCCTTGGGAAAGTGATAGTAGTGATGATGAAGCTTTGTTATTATTTTCGTTAAATAATAATAATAAACAAAAAAGGAAATGGGTCCATGAAGTAAACATGGAACGTAAAAAGTTTGGTGAATTTCATCATCTTTTAAAACAAATACGAAAAGATGAATTAAAATTTAAAGAATATTTTCGTATGAGTATGAAACAATTTGATCAACTTTTATCAATTATTAAAAAGGACATCGAGAAAAAGGAATTAAATCTCAGGGAAAGTATTACAGCCGAGGAACGATTAGCTGTTTGTTTAAGGTAAGTAATTTAACACTTTTTAAAATAATAATAATTTTAATTTTTAATTTTTAATAGGTAACCTTATAATAATAATTAATTAGTAATTAAGTTTATGGTAATAATTACACTAATACTTGAGCCCAATCTTTAATCAATTAAATTAAATAGTAAGTCTTTTGTTGCGAGTCATACATCACATTCGATGCACTTTCCTGTACTTGATTTGAAGTTGATGGGTGAAAGAATGTCTGACTAGGAGCAGGTATTATTTGACTGACCGGTGAAGGTGTGTCCAACCTAACCACTGTGCCACGACCAGGTGTTTCAGTACTGACGATAGAGGATGTCGGAGTAGCAGACGGTTGGTCCAAGAACTCAGTTTCTGCATTTATAATTGCCCGCATAACTTCTTGCTTAATTTTCAGTTGCAAACGTCGAGGAAGTCGTTTTGTACTCTCACATGCACTAGCAAAGAAAAAATCTAGTTCTCCTGGCTGTTTTTTCTCTTGATTTTTGTTTCCAATGAATGATATTATCTTGTCAACATCACTTTCTTTGCCTACATTCTTTTTGAATGCAACAAAATTATGTTTCTTCTTTTGAGCTTCACTTTCTATATTATTTGACAATGTCAATTCCACGTTTTCTTCATTTTGGCTATGTTCTTCAATTATTTGATTTTCTTCATCTGTCAAGTCCGCGACAGTATCATTGCCATCATAATTATTGACGTTAGTGTAAGTTCTGTAAAAAAATAATAATACTGTAGTAAGTGTCTACGGTCAAAGAACTGAAGACAATTTAGAAGTTATACTTACTCACGTGGAGTTGACTCGGATAAAAGAAAAGACATAACTTCTTCGTATTTCCAAGGTTTCATTTTCTTAGCAGCCTGTCCACTTTTTGCCTTCCTTCTTAATGTAGCTTGTCTGTGAGAATCCTGTAGCTTCTTCCATTCACCTTTCAGTTCATCCACTAAACCAAATATAAATATAAATTTTAGTTTTTTGTTTATTTTATTCTTAGGTTTCTAGCCACTGGAAATTCATTTCGGTCATTAGCTTTCAATTATCGCATGGGCAGGTCTACAATAAGTAACATAGTCGAAGAAGTCTGCGAAGCCCTATGGAAAAACCTTCAGCCTATCGTAATGCCTGATCCTAATGAAGAAATATGGAGAGCTTCAGAAAAAGTGTTTAAAGAAAAATGGAACTTCCCTCATTGTGTTGCTGCAATCGATGGGAAGCATGTCCGTATTAAGGCACCGGCTCATAAAGGTTCAGAATTTTTCAACTATAAAAAATATCACTCGGTTGTTTTGCTAGCACTAGTAGATGGAAATAAAAAATTCATTTGTGTTGATGTTGGGCAATATGGAAGAGTTAGTGATGCAAGTGTGTATAGTAACACCACTATTGGAAAACGTTTAACAAGCTTAAATATGGGTATACCTCCAGATGAAGATTTAGCAGGAAGAAATTTACCCTATGTAATAGTTGGTGACGAGGCATTTCCTCTTAAAAAATATCTCATGAGACCTTATCCCAGAAGTGCCCGGCGACTTAGCGAGGATGAACGTATTTTCAACTACAGGCTCTCAAGAAGCAGAAATACTGTGGAAAATACTTTTGGTATCCTTGCAAATACTTGGAGAGTATATCATAGCCCATTAGAATGTCGAATTGAACTCGCAGATAAAGTCATTTTAGCTACTGTTGTTCTCCACAATTACACACGTCAATTAACTACTCAAACCAATCTAGCGACTGTTGAAGAACAAATCAACGAAACTAACGTGTTTATGCCAATACGAATTGGTATCTCATCGAATTCAAGTAGAGAAGCTTTAAATGTCCGAAATTTATTCAAAGAATATTTTATTTCCAATGAAGGTCGCGTTGAATGGCAGCAAAGAATTGTGAATCGTACAGCTTAAAATAGTTAAAAACTATTCAATTACTATTATTATGATTAAATTACTATATTATATTAATTATATTCTACTATAGTACTAAAGTATATTTTATAATTTATATTAATATTTTACATTTGAATACTTAATCTTACATTTTTATAAATACATCATAAAATAGTAAATACATATTATCTACCTGGCTTTTTCAATTCTTTTGAAATGTTGACCCATGCATTGTCACGTATGTTCTGGTTTCGATATTCGTCCAGATTTTTCTTCCAGAGACAAGGATACCTGCGTACTTCCTCTATTAGCTGTTCTAGTAACATCACTTAAAAAAATGACGTAGTACTCACGAAAATTAATAAAATATAATTTATTTTTATTTTGTATTTTTCAAAAAACCGCTGGTTCAATTTGAATTATAAATTATAACTGCGTCTGCGTGAATAATTATAATCGACTGCTCGTTGCTCGTATATCACAGGACACGCTATATTTATTTATTTATTTATTTATTTATTTATTAATTTCCGATATCGGTACTAGCATGTTCATGCCTGTCGAAACCTGCACGTCGCGACACATCGCTCAAAAATATAACCATAAATCAAACACTCGGCGACGCGTCGCAACGTAGCTAAGAACAAAACGTAGCGTACACTAGTCTGTGTGGCCATTTACGTCTTCAAGATAGAAAACTATTTTTTATTCATATAGCAAACATCGCGAACATAGCGCGTGTAGCGTTCTGTGTGGCCTCAGCATTAGAGGTAACAAAGTATCGAAATTTAGACACATGGGGATCAATAAAATCCATATTAGAGGGGGCATTCGAACAGAAAGTATCAGAGAGGGCCCTAGCAGTAGCTTAAACACGGCACGTATGACCTAAGGAGAAAGTGTAGCAAAATTCGCTAGTAGAATCGAAGAGTTATATTATAGACTCTGCGCGGCTAGTACAATGGGATTAACCATGACAAAATAAATAGGTATGTCAGCAACTCGTGATACGCATGTCTGTGGCGTAAGCATTTCTCCAACAGGTTGAGCGGTGGAGTGGTGGTGGAGTCTTCGGCGGCGGCGGCTATTGCGGCAGTGACGGCGGTGGACCAATGAGAACTGGAGATATGCTTACGCCACAGTAAAGGGCTGGGTGAAGGGTGGGTGCGCGATTTGTTTCTAAATCCGTAATATTGCTGACATACCTATATAATTTGTCATGATTATTGTGATCACATTAAGTCATTAGATATTTTAGATACTTTCATACTTTTAGCCGTTTGCAATTAAGTCGTCTAAATTATCAAATTATAGAATCGGTAAAATAAAAAGACGCCAAAATTCGAGTGACTTAATATTCACTGACTAAATATTTTTAACATTTAGTCACGAAATAGAGAATCGAGAATCGCCCTGCTGGAGCGCGCTCTTACCAATATCGTCCGTGAGACGAAAACGAGCCATGTCTTGAACGTTACCCCCACCTCTGCAGGGCAAAAAAAAATAGCCGCAACTTGCGAACGTCCTAGCTTAGAGAACATAAACGCCTCATAATAATTTAAGTACTTCCACTCGTCCGATTTTAAAAATTAAAAACTATTTGTACTTGTTAACAAGCCTACTATACAGCGATATAGTTTTAAACAGAAAAATAAAAATAAATAGCTGCACAAATGACAAAAGTATAAAACGAATAATATAGACATTAAAATGAATGAAAATAGTAGAAATAATAATTTTAATGGGTATAACAATAGATATAGCAATAATAATCGCGGCGGTTATAGCGCAGGCGCGAATAATCGCAGCAGAAGTTTTCGCGGAGGACATGGTTATGGACGAAATTTTAACGATAATAATTTTCAACGAAATAATACTAATCAGATTAGAACCGGATGTTACACATGCGGGAAATCTAATCATTTTGCAAGGGATTGCTGGCAGACAGTAGTTAGGCCGAATACACAGCAAAATACGTGTAGTAATAATCGCGCCAATGGCGCGCGTAATATTGGCAATAGTAATAATCGTGCAGGCAATAGTAGCGCACAAAATGTACATTGCAGTTTTTGTAATAAGGTAGGACATGAAATTACGAACTGTGTTACGAAACAGAAAATGAGGAAAATAATTCGAAAAACTCCAGAGGACAACCTCAAGTGGGCGTGAGGTTGGTCCAAGAAATAGTACAAGACCCACAAAACGAATTTTCCACATCACAACTAGATTAGTAGATAATCATATTACGTTAAAATCGCCAAGTTTCAATAAAGATCAAATTAAATTGTTAGTTGACAAGGGCGCGGATCTGAACATTATCAAAATTAATGCTTAAAAGGAGATACTAACTGAAATTAATGAAAAAGAAAAAATTTATTTAAAGGGAATCAATGAAAAAATAGTGTCCACAATAGAAAAAACGGAAATAGATTTAATTATAGATAATATAGCATTTGGAACAGAATTTTATGTAGTTAGTAAAATTTATCCGATATCCGGCGACGGAATAATAGGTAATAAGTTTTTAATAGATAACCACGCAATAATAAATGTTGCAAATAATACAATTACGATAAATGAAAGCAAAATAGACAACGATAATAATATTTGTTTTACATTGCAACCACGTTCAGAAACAGTAGTACAAATCGATATAGCAGATAAGGCAATGAATAATAAAAATATATTAATTAATAAACAAGAATTATTACCAGATATATACTGTGCGAATATTTATAATAAAGTTTAAAACGGAAAAGTAACGATAAGCGTGTTAAATATATCCGAAACGACGCAGGATGTAAATGTAGGTCAAGTACGTAAAATATCATACGAGAATGACATAGTAACACACTGCGATTACACACACATTCATAAGCGTGACATAGAGCGTAAACAAAAAGTGAGGGCGTTGATACGTACAGATCACCTTCAAGTTCATGAACGTAAATCAATAACAAAAATCTGTGAGGATTATTCCGATATTTTTCATTTAGAGGGTGATAGTTTAATGTGTACGACAGCGGCCGAACATGTAATAAAAGTTAAGAAATATTTGAAACCAATTTATAAAAAACAGTATCGTTTACCATTTTCGCAACAAC